TTTCCGCCCCTGGATCCCAGTTTTCCACCCCTGGATCCCGGTTTTCCCTTCCCTTCCCCGGTCGTTTTCCATTGGGAAAAGGGATTTTTCCCGGCAAGGAAAACCAGGAGCCATCGTGCCCCAATCCCACCGAACTTCCCGTGGATTTGGGATCACCTGGGAAAAATCCCACTGGGAACGACCAGAAAATCCCGGTGGGAATCACCAGAAAATCCCGCTGGGAATCACCAAAAAATCCAACTGGGAATCACCAGAAAATCCCGGCGGGAATCACCAGATTCAATGTCAACTCAACGGCAACGGCGACTCAATCCCAACTCAACTGAAACTCAACTCAGCGTCACCTCAACGGTAACGTTGATGTCAACCCAACTCAACCTCAACTCAGCATCATCAACCCAACATCGACGTCAACCCAACTCAATGTCAACGTCAACCCAACATCGACGTCAACCCAACTCCACCTCAATCTCAACTCAACATCAACGGCAACTTAACTCCAACTCAATGTCGGCTCAACGGCAACTCAACAGCAACACTGACGTCAACCCAACTCAATGTCAACGTCAACCCAACATCGACGCCAACCCAACTCAATGTCAATCTTAACTCAAGGTCAACGTCAACCCAACATCGACCTCAACTCAACTTCAACTCAACCCCAACTCAACCTCAAGGTCAACTCAACCCAACCTCAACCTCAACCTCAACACAACGGCGACTCAACCTCAATGGCAACTCAACTCAACCCCAACCCAACCTCAAGGTCAATGTCAACCCAACCCAACCTCAACCCCAACCCAACCTCAACCCCAACTCCATGTCAAACTTAACCCAACTCAACCTCAACGTCAACCCAACTCCAACCTCAAGGTCAACTTCAAACTCAACCTCAACCCAACCCCAACTCAACATCAACGTCAACCCCACCCAACCTCAACCCAACCTCAACTCGATGTCAACGTCAACCCCAAACTCAACCTCAACTCAAACTCGACCCCAACTCCAATTTCAACCTCAAAGTCAACTCAACGTCAACTCGACCTCAACCCCAAACTCAAACTCAACCTCAACCCAACCCCAACCTCAAAACCAACCCCAACCTCAACCTAACCCAACCTCCCAACTCACCCCTGACCCCCAACCGGGCGTGAGGTCGGAATCCCCCCCAGCTGCCGGGCAGAGCCCCCTCACCTGCTGCAGGAACATCTGCATGGACTCCTGGCCCAGGACGGTGCCGGGCGCGGCCGCGGGGCCCAACAGGATCTTCTCGGGGCTCCCGGCGAGCCCCGGGCTGGGCTGGGACGTCCCGCTCGCCGCCGCCGGCACGTTGAGCTGCAGCGGCGCCGCCGCAGGCGCGGTGGGCTGGACGGTGAGGACGGAGCCTGGGTCGGCGCCGGGGCTGGGACTGGCGCCGGGGGCGGCGCCGGGGGCGGCCTGGATGCTGACGGCGGCTCCCAAACCGTCGCCGGCGTTGAGCATGACCTGGTTGGCCAACGTCACCCCTTGGATCACCGTGGGCGCCGCCGCCGCCGCCTGGCTCTGGCTGGGCAGCGTCCCCGCCAGCGACACCGGCATCTGGAAGAGCGCCGGTTGGCCGACCTGGCCCGGCTGGAGCTGGATGGGCGCCGACAGGATGTGGGCGGTGCCGTGGGCGTTGGGCGACGTCAGCACCTGGCCCAGGTTGAGCTGCCCGGCCAAGTTCTGGTTGGTCAAGATCTGCGCCGGCAGCGCCTGGTTGGCGATGAGCTGGGCGCCGGCGCCCTGGCCGGCGATGATGCCGGCGCCGTGCGAGGCCGCCAGGATCTGGCCGCCCACGTTGGCCGGCAGCGCCGAGAGCGGCTGCGGCAGCTGCACGGCCGAGGCGCCGGCCAGCTGGCCCGGCAGCAGGAACTGGTTCTGCCCCTGGAAGTGCTGCGCCGGGATGACGATGCTGCCGCCCTGGTTGAGCACGTGCACGCTCATGGACTTGCCCAGCGCCGCCGGCGGTTGGGGCGGCGGCGGCTTGAAGACGTTGGGGGGGAAGCCCGAGAGCACCACGTTGGGCGCGGCCTTGCCGGCCATGAAGGTCAGGTTCTGCTGGGGCTTGGCCTGGGCCTCGCCGGGCAGCGCCAGCGCGTTGTTGGGCGCGAAGGGCTTGGGCGTGATCTGGTAGAGCTTCTGCTGCAGGACCCCGGCGGGCTTGGGCTGGATGGGCGTGGGCGTGCGGTGGATGATGACGTTGGGCGCCGGCACCAGGGAGCCGCCCAGGCCCGAGGTGACGGTGAGCGGCTGCGACGCCGGCGACGCGACGCCGCCGAACACCGAGTTGCCGTTGAGCGTGGTGGTGGCCACGGCCGGGAGGCTCTTCTGGATGACCAGCCCGGCCCCGCCCTGCGAGGACGGAGCCGCCAGCGCCGCCGCCGCCTCGGGCTGCGCGATGTAACCGCCCACGGCCGCCACCGGCGCCGGCTTGGCCAGCAGCTGCTGCGCCGCGGGCTGGTTGATGGCCATCACCTGCTGGCCCACCACCTGGATGGGCCCGATGCCCAGCGCGCCGCCGGGGCTCCCGTTGGGCAGCCCGGGCAGGTTGGGCAGGGGCTGGATGGTGACGTTGCCCAGCCCCACCTGCTGCAGGAAGGGCTGGACGCTGATGGCCTTGTTGACCACGTCGGCGCCCACCGGCTGCTGCACCAGGGCCTGGTGGGCCAGCACGGCGGGCGGCTGGATGCCCAGCAGGTCGGCGCCGCCGGAGAAGATCTGGGGGGTGCCGTCGGCCGCCTGCACCACGGGCTGCAGCGCCGGCAGCTGGAAGGAGCCCAGGTCCAGCTCGGCCTCGGCCTCCAGGGTCTGCTCGGTGATGTTGGCCTCCTGCAGGCTCTGCTGGAGGATGTCGCACGGCTGCTCGGCGCCGGCGCCGGCGCCCGAGGGCGAGCCCAGGATGTCATCCTCCAGGAAGTCCAGGTCCACGCTGGCCGGCGGTTGGCTCGGCTCCGCGCTCAGCGGGTTCCCGGCGGGCTCCTGCCCGTGGAGCTGCGGCAACGGAGACGGGACAAGGGCTCAGAGAGGGGGAGGACCAACGGAACTCAACGGAGCTCAACGGAACTCAACGGAACTCAACGGAAAGGGCTCAGTGAAGGTCAACAAAAGGCAACAAAAACTCAAGGAAACTCAACCAAACTTTGCCAAACTCCACCAAACTCAACGAAAACTCAACGAAACTCAACAAAACTCAACCAAAACTCAACCAAAACTCAACGAAAACTCAACAAAAACTCAATGAAAACTCAATGAAACTCAACAAAACTCAACCAAAACTCAACGGAAACTCAATGAAAACTCACCAGAAGTCACCCAACCAAACTCAGCCAAACTCAACCAAAAACAACCAAACTCAACGGAAACTCAACCAAAACTCAACTAAATTCAACAGAAACGTAATGAAAACTCACCAAAAGTCACCCAACCAAACTCAGCCAAACTCCACAAAACTCAACTGAACTCAACCGAACTCAACCAATCCAAACTCATGGAAAAGTCCCCAAATCTCACCCAGCCAAACTCAGCCAAACTTCAACCAAACCCCCCCAAACTCGACAAACCCAAACTCAAGGAAAACTCCCCAAAACTCACCCAACCAAACTCAACCAACTCAACCAAACTCAACCAAACTCAACCAACTCAACCAACCCAAAGTCGAGGAAAACTCCCCAAATCTCACCCAACCAAACTCAACCAAACTCAACCAACTCAACCAAACTCAACCTCAAACTCAATCAAACTCAACCAAACTCCTCCAAACTCGGGAGTTTCGGGGTTTTCCGGCGCCGAACCGTCGGAATTCCGGGCGCGTCCGGCGGTTTTCCCGTTCGGGAATCTCCAGCTCGGAGGGACAAAGAGGGTTTTGGGGAAAGAAAGGGGAAAATCCCGTGGGAAAAGGGAAAAAAGGGGAAAAAATCCCAACCGGCGGCTGAGTCGGAGCCGGAGGGAAAAGGGGAAGGAGGGGAAATCCCGGGAAAAGGATTTCTGGGATAACCAGATTGGGCTTTGGCTGAAAGGGAAAAGAGGAAAAATAAAAAAGGGGAAAAAAAAACGGGATCAAAATGAAAATTCGGGATTTTTTTAAGAGGGAAAAAAGGTCCCCAAAACGAAAGAAAATTCCAGGGAAAACCAAGGAAAACCGAGGGAAAAATCAAAGGGACTCAAGGGACTCAAGGGCCGGGGGGTCATGCTCGTTCTCCATGCAGAGGATTCCATGCTTTGGGGGGAAAAGGAGGGAAAAAAGGGCATTTTCCGGCTCCAATTCCGGGTTTATCCCAGATTTTCCCCCCCTGCTCTGGGGGGGCTCCGGAGGAATTGGGAAAAACGGGATTTTTCTCCCGAGGAACGGAGTTTTCCGGGGGTTTTCCCGAGTTTCTGGGATTCCCCGCGGGCTCCTGGTTCCTCCTTTCTCCCTTTCCCATCCCGGGTTTTCTCCCGGAGCCGAATCCGTCGGGAAAAGCGACTCCCAAAGTTGAGAAATATCCTCAGTTTTGCCCTTAAATCGAGGGATTTCGGGATTTTATCCCGGGAAATCCCAGGGAAAAATTCCCAGGGTTTCGCCTCTTCGTCCAGCCCCGGGAAAGGGAGGGAATTCCACTCGGGAAAGGCCAAAAAAACCGGGAAAAGCGGGAAAGGGGAGCGCGAATACTGGGAGTACTGGGAATACTGGGAATACTGGGAATACTGGGAATACCTACCCCAGCACCTTCAAAAAAGGCACTGGCAGCATCTCCTGAGTTGTCCAGGAGATCATCACTGTCAATCTGGAATTAGAAACAGGGATTTACTGGGATTTTAGGGAGAAAAGTGGGAAAAAAACATGGGAAAAAAATGGGGAGAAAATGAGAAAAAAAATGGGGAAAAATGAGAAAAAAATGAGGAAAAAAACGGAAAAAAAATGGGAAAAAATGGGGGAAAAACGGAGAAAAAAAATGGGAAAAAATGGGGAGAAAATGGAAAAAAAATGGGAAAAAATGGGAAGAAAATAAGAAAAAATGAGAAAAAAATGAGGAAAAAAATGGGAAAAAATGGGGAAAAATGGGGAAAAATTTGAAAATAAAATGAGAAAAAATGGGGAAAAATGAGAAAAAAAATGAGAAAAAAAATTGGGAAAAATGGGGAAAAAATAGGAAGAAGATGAGAAAAGATGAGAAAAAAATGGGGAAAAAAACGGGGAAAAAATGGGAAAAAATTAAGAAAAAAAGGGGAAAAATGGGAAGAAAATGAGAAAAAAATGGGAAAAATAATGGGGAAAAAAAAGGGAAAAATGAGAAAAAATGGGGAAAACATGGGGAAAAAAATGAGGGAAAAAAATGGGAAAAACAAATGGGATTGCAAAGGAAAAGTGGGATGTGGTGGTGGGTGAGGGGCGGCCCCTCCGCTTCCAAATGGTCCCCAAATCCCTCCGGGCCGGCGGGAAAAATTCCTAAAAAACCCCAATGGGATGGAAAAAGTCGGGATGGACGAAGGAGGGGGGGGTGGGATGGAAAACAAAGGGAGGTTTTTGGGGAAAAAAGGGAATTTTGGGGGGTTTTGGGGTCTCACCTTCTCGGATCCATGTAAAAAATCGTTCAGGGCCTGAGGATCACTGGGAAAAAAAACGGGAAGAGAGGATTAGGGAGCGGAATTCCGGGATTTGGGGGCGGGGGGGGGGAACTCTGGGAGGGGTTTTTCCAGGGAGGATCCCAAAATTTGAGATTCTGGAGGGACCCTGGGGGGGCTCCCGGGGGGCTTTGGGACGGTTTTCACCCTTTTTGGGACCTTCCCGGGGTTTTTGGGGAGATTTCCCAACTTTTTTAGGACGTTTTCCGCTTTTTGGGGGAGTTTCCAGCCCTTTTGGGGACATTCCCAGCCAATTTTGGGATGTTTCCCACCCTTTTTGGGGCATTTCCAGTCTTTTTATGGATGTTTCCAGTCTTTTTTGGGACGTTTCCCACCCTTTTTGGGGCATTTCCGGCCTTTTCCGGGACATTTCCCAGTGTTTTCCGGATGTTTTCCACCCTTTTGGGACATTTTCTGTGGGTTTTGGGACATTTCCAGCCCTTTTGGGGACATTTCCTGCCCTTCCAAGGTCATTCTCAGCCTTTTTTGGGATCTTTTCCACCAGTTTTGGGACATTTCTAAATGTTTCCAGGATAATTTCCACCTTTTTCAGGACGTTTCCCACCCTTTTTAGGACAATTCCCACTTTTTCCAAGACAATTCCCACCTTTTCCAGGACAATTCCCACCTTTTCCAAGACAATTCCCACCTTTTCCAAGACAATTCCCACCTTTTCCAGGACAATTCCCACATTTTCCAAGACAATTCCCATCTTTTCCAAGGCAATTCCCCCCCATTTTGGGCCCTTTTCCCCCCATTTTGGGCCATTTCCCGTCGGTTTTGGGACCTTTCCTGCCCTTTCCAGGACAATTCCCACCTTTTCCAGGACAATTCCCACTTTTTCCAGGACAATTCCCCCCCGTTTTGGGCTGTTTTCCCCCTGTTTTGGGTCCTTTTCCCTCCATTTTGGGCCATTTCCAGCCGGTTTTGGGCCCTTTCCCGCCCTTTCCAGGCCCTTTCCGACCCATTCCCACCTTTTTTTTGGGAATTGTGCCCCCCGGATTCCCGGGACTCACCAGATGACATCGAGGAGGCACCGCCCGTCTTCATCATCCATGACAACTGCCAACACGGACACAAACCCGTCACTTTTCCAGGGAAAAACCCGGAAAACTTGGGAATTCCGGGATGGGTCGGGGCCCTTTTCCCTCTTTCCCTCAGCTCCGGGCAGGGAGCGGTGGGAAATTTGGGATAAAACCCCCGGAAAAGGGGAAGAGGGAGCGAGAGCTGCCGGGTTTTCCGGCTTTTTCGGGGGGTTTTGGGAGGGAATTCCAAGGAAAAGGAGGGATAACGGGGAGGGAGGACGGGATGAGGAGGGAATTCCTTAAGGAATCCATCAGGGAATCCTCTGGGAAAACCTCAGGGAAAGGATTCCTCAAAAAATCCCTCAGGGAAAGGATCGATCCCGAAATTCCCAAAATCCAGGAAGGAGCTGATTCCTCAAGGAATCCAAACGGGAAAAGATTCCTCCTGGAATCCCTCAGGGAATGGATTCCCTTGGGAATCTCCTCAGGAAAGGATTGGATTGATCCCAAAATTCCTCTGGGAATAAACTGATCCCGAAATTCCCCAGGGAGGGATTGGATTGATCCCAAAATTCCTCAGGGAATAAAGAGATCCCTGAATTCCTCAGGGAAGGAATTGATCCCAAAATTCCTCTGGGAATGCATTCCTTTGGGAATCCCCCAAGGAAAGGATTCCCAGAAATTCCAGTAGGGAAAGGATCGATCCCAAAATTCCCCCCTGGAAGGAACTGATCCCAAAATTCCCCCGTGGAATGAACTGATCCCAAAATTCCCCCAGGAAAGAATTGATCCCAAAATCCCTCAGGGAACAAACTGATCCCAAAATTCCCCCTGGAAGGAACTGATCCCAAAATCCCCCCAGGAAAGAATTGATCCCAAAATTCCCCTGGAAGGAACTGATCCCAAAATTCCCCTGG